TCCCCTGCAACAACTTGATTTTACCCTTGTTATGCAAGCACCTGGACTCTTTATCAGTATGTATTTTTGTAACATTTATTTTTTCTTTGTTTTGTTAATATTAAGTTTGTGCACATTATGGATCTTTTATATTAAACTGTATACTGAAGTGTACTCTTTACATTATGTTCTCAGTATATTTTTATTTTTTATTACACCTCAAGTACAATGTATAAATTATGTTTTATCTGTGTTATTTTAGTACTTTTTATTATTTTGTTCTCAGTTGCTACTGTGGTATAACACGCAATTTGACCCAAAAAGACCAAAGCAGTTCTGTAAAAAACATATTTTGTGATATGGTGCTTATTTCAATGTGATAGAGACTGTCATGCTGTCACTTGGTGACATCCTTCAACCTATTGGCCATGTCCCATCTTTAATGTACATTTTGTGCCCATGTAACCATTATGGTTGTAAACAGTCAATTCATGTTAAAACTTGAAGAAGGAAGGTTTTATCCTGTTTACATATGACATGTTAATTGAATTGTTTAGGTTAGAATAGGAGAAAAACAGTGTATGGAAATTTAAATGCAATAATGTTCATTTTGGGCGTTGTTATAATTGTTTGATGTTTATTGGAGGATATTGATGTATCTCAGTAATCAGTTGAAGTGTAATACAGGGTGGTCGTAAACCATTGTGCCCAATAATTGTTGACCTTCCATACAAAAGTTATGTTTGGGATTTCTTTTCTGAACATACTACAATGGACCATATTTTGTGCGTGCAATTATTCTGGAAATGTCATCTGTGCCATATCTTGTATCCTGATCAAATATTAAGCAAGGAACTTCGGTGACCATACATCAGAAAGAGAGCATTTCTAACTACTAAAGAATAAGAATGTAAGCAAGTAATGCAAATATATTTCTTGGATTAGTGTGGCTACTAGTTATGTGGTTCATGCCATTTTTATCATATAGCAGGACAATTATGTGAATTTTTATTGTAAATGGCTTATGTTTTTGTTGTGAGGCTTACTTCAATTTGTGTGAATTGTGAGGTCTTGAAAAGAATCCCTTACAATGTATTTTTTCATTATTTACCTGATAGAATAATACTAAACCACTCCAGTCCTCATTCATATTTCTGTCAGGATTATGGTGGAAATTGAATGACTGTGTTCAAAACACTAATCTTCAACAGCTAGGCAGCACTATGCAGACCAACAAGAATTTGCTTTTATAGCTCTGAGAGTAAAGTTGAATGTCACAACTAAAGAAGAAGATTATTCTTTCTTATGAACGAAGTACGAATTTTGCAATGTAAGGTAATTTACAGATATTTCGCTGAAGTTGAATGTCATAGCATAAGGGTTAAAGTAAACTTTATCCCTAGCCATACTGCTTCAGAATTTATATCCATACTGTCATTTTTACAAACCTCAAACAAAAGTCTGAACTGTATTAGTTAACACTGTTACCTTGTGGCTAGTTCATGAAACATCCAAGAAAGAGGCCCTGATTTAAAATCCACTGTGGGAGCTGTGACTGGCAAAGTGGCTATTTAGAAGGGTTTCTTGTAGTTCTCCAGTTTTGCTTGCCATTGTTTGCTCATGTCTGCATTCTTCAGTCATTAAGGTCATCCCTAAACTACTGTGTAACTGATAAGATATTAAATTGCTTGCCAATTACTGATACATATTCCCATATTAATGTTAAATTACTCTCTGATATGTCTTGTAAACACTCTTCTGTGTTGATATAAATGTGTCACATTGTCAGTTTCGTTTTGTGCAGTGCTGATGGTCATTTCATTTGCTAATTTGCCAGTGGTTTAAGTCAGGCTGGAGCATCATGATCTTCCTCATAAGATTTTTCCACTATGGATGGTGCCACCCTTGATACAGTATTCGGCTGGTCTTAGAGTAAGGTAGTTCTAGAGCATCATGATATTAAGATTGGTTGATTTGAACTACTCTATGTCAAAAGTATAATTTGGTTATTTTAATTTGAAAATAAGGCCATTATGCTTGCTTTTAAAGTCACTGTCAAAAGTCAGTGTGTTTGTGTGTGTAATTATGTGATATATATTTAGTTTTATATGTCTTTATGTTAAGAGTTTTCGGTGAAGATTTTTATGTGCATTTTTTAACTTGGTAGGATTCTTTTCTACTTAAGTGATAAACAGTTGAGTAGAAGTCCTGTTAAATCCAGGGAAGAACACAAATTTTGTTTTTTGAGTAACAGATGACAGCATTTGGAAATAATGTTGCAAAAGTATCACATTACATATATAGTACCTAGTTACTTCTACTTAATAGTGCTGTACATCTCTTCAGTATTAAGTTTTTTCTTATTTTTATACCAATAATACCATTATTTATGTATTTCATTGTTTATGTTTTAGAGTACACTTAGCATTAGTGTGTCCACTTTGAAAGTAGTGCAATTTTTCCTTCACCCTTTCCCTGTTGCATTGTAAGTCTGGTGGTGTGGTCAAGTGAAAGAAATATAAGCCCTTATAAATGTTGTTATTAAGTGCTTATTCCAGCTGTTTAACTTGTAGCAGAAATCCATATGCAGCTGACAGTTCATAAACAAGCTGTATACATTCAATGATCTCCCCACCCCACCCTCAGAAAAATGCCTTTCTATCTTCCTAAAGTTTTAAGCACAAAAAGAAGTAAATTTGCTCTCATTATGGTATGGATATTAATAGTAAAAAATTGTATATTCTCACATTGAAATAAATAGCAAACAATAAATGTACACTGTACTTAAGTTATTAGAATGACAGAACACATCAATAAACGTAAATAATCTTGAAGTTGTCATTTATACCATTGTATCTTGTATTGTGAGTTTAATTTGAACTGTCTGATACATCCTGCACATGTATTTAATAAGTACAGTACATGTAGGATTAGAGGTTTTCACAGCGGTGACTCCGAAGATTGCTTTCTTCTGGGTTGATGTGCTGCGTAGTCTGGTAGATGTCCACCAACGTTTCAGAGATCATACTGCCTCTGTCATCAGGACGATGAGGCAGCATGACCTCTGAAATGTTAGTGGATATCTACCAGACTACATGGCACAACAACCCAGAAGAAAGCAATCTTCAAGTACAGTACAGTTTGTTACATTATAATTTGGCAAGCTGTTGAAGTTTACATGTTATGGTACAGTGTTTAAACATAATACATTAGTAAATATATTTGACATATGAATGTATAAAATCTTAGCACAATAGTTAAAATCCTGTTTGACCCTCATAGGCCATGTTTCTGATTAGATGTCAGGTTAAAACATGTTGTTCAAAATAATAACTTTGAGCTATAATAAGTGTTTGAAAGTGACTGTTAAGAACCAACAAGAATAATCATTAATCCTTTATATATGGGCTCAAGTGAATTGTTTGATGAGATTCCATTTTATAATCATTTATTGAATTTGAAATTTATAGCTTTTATGGGATGAGAGGTTACCCCATAGAGTTCAATATATTTGTCACTTATTTTTGATTAATACTATCTAATTGAGTCATGGACTTCAGTATTTGTTATTTATATACAAATAAGTGGGGGATTTTTTTAATAGTTGTTTATGGTTCCATTGTAAATTTGTCAGTAAATCATGCTTTTGATTATGTAAATTTACAAGTACAAGCAAATTGTAACAGTTTATCTAGAAGCATTGTGACAGGGTGGGGTTGGATGTTACATAAATACTGAATGGTATTAGAGAAAAAGTACTTTTGTAATGGTTATGTTCTTCGTATAACATTTGATTATGTTTATTTTCTATATTATCTGAGTGCTGAGAATGGCCTAAATATTATATTAATGAGTAATTGTATTTACATACATGTTTCATATGTGGCCTTTTTTAAACACAGCTACAGAGAAATGAGCATGTGATTTATTCTTGCGTATAAAGTAGAAGCTGTTATTAGTAAAAATAATGTATAATCTTTTCTTTTAACATTGTTTACATATGTAGGATTTGAGGTTTTCATGCCAGTGAGTCTGAAGATTGCTGTCTTCATTATTTAAGTAATTATAGTAACTAGCATATATAATGTAACATCATAAATCTATAGTTTTGACCTGTCAGAAGTACCTGTGGTGGACAGTAACAGGTTACTTCAGGAAAAGAATTTTTGGTCTCAGATTGGACATTTTGTGTTGCGCAGTCATCCTGTATTTGTGTTGGCTGTACAGATGCCAAACTGCATCATGTGAGTAAATTAACAGTAAATTGGTGTTATGGAGTAATTAGTATATTCCAATATGATATTTGTACCATAAAAGAGTTAGTGAATTATGTGCTCTGAAAATTGATGTCACTGACCAAAGAACTTAACAAATTCTTTATCAATACAGTATTTAGTTGAAATACTCTTTTTAAAATAAAGTTGGTGCATAGTTGTAGTTCCTTAATGTTCTGAATGGCTCATATAAGTTTTCTAGTGATTTTTGTTATAAGAAGTAGTTGAATTTATTTTGTATTTATCATTTACCCCATTAGATTGGTTCTGTTGATTCATGCATTTCATGAGGCTCTACATTTGTACATTATTTTATGTGTAATGACACTTCAGTATAATCAAAGCAGGTAATTGCCAAATAACAAACTTCCAAGTGTTGTGTGTTAACACTGTTGTTTACAAGGAATGAAAGTGAATGAATAGGTCTGCCATTATTCTGATCCAAATGTAAAGCATCTTCTGTTTTGGTGTGAAATTTCAGCACAATTTGTAGTAATTATAGTAATGTTAATTACTTTTACCTTATGGAAGTGGTGTGCTCAAGCTAAGGTGTATAATAGCCAGATTACCTTTACCCCCTTAGATGTTAACTTAACTAACTCCATGGAGTAGAATCTTTATTGAGAAATTTTCTATCAGACAGTCAAGAAATTCCTTGCCTTTAATGTAAACCAAGTGTTCATTACCATGTTCACAAGAGTTCTTCACCATTCCTTTCCTGAACCACATGTCCATTTTAACACTATCTTCCTTTCTGTGTGTAGGTACTTTCCTTTGGCTTTACAACCACAATCTATACACATTTCTCATCTCTGTGTGCCTCATCCATTTGTTCCCCTTTGTGTGTGTACTAATATTATTGGGTGAAGAGTGCACATTATTCAGCTCTTCAGGATGGTAAATGGATAGTTTTCAAAATGTTTTAACACTGGGAGATTATAAGGCAACATCCTTCATCCTATTCCTTAGTTATACTTCTGTAAAGCAATTTTAGGTAAGTATGACTACATGCAAGGAAGAATGTTATGTCTTAAAATGCAAATTTTATTTTTTTGTAAACAGTTTATAAAATGCTAAGCTTTCAAGAAACAAGGATTACAAGTCCCATATCACTGCTTTCTCGTAATGTCTTCCATGTGCAATATACGGTTGTGTCACTTGATATTACTCATTTTCGGAAACTGGAAATTACAGGAGTTAACATGCTGTGTTTTTAATTAATACATACCTTGAAAGTTCTGAATGGCAGGTCTGTCTTCATCATTATTAACAGTTTGATGTTGCAATTTCATAAGTATTACATGAAGAAGTACCATTATTACTTTTCTCAGAATTGATAATTATGAAGATGGACTGAGAATACTGTTATAAATCATAAATATTCTATGATCTGAAGCTTTCATGGTGACCAAGTTTAATGAATTCTTCTCAGACTACCAACCATGTCAGGTGTTTGAATGGAGAAAACACCAGTGTTTCAAGAACCATGTTCGTCGCCATCCTCAGGGTACAGAAGTTCTGTACCCTGAGGATGAGGACGAACATGGTTCTTGAAACACTGGTGTTTTCTCCATTCCATACAGAAGTTCTGTACTCTGAGGATGAGGACAAAATGTTGATGTTTTCTACATTCAACCACCTGACGTGGCTGGTAGCCCGAGAAGAATTCAACATACATAAATACTCTATTCATTGAATCAGGTATTTATTCTTAATGTGGATGCATTTGGTTATACTGTGCATAAATTTCAATACCTAAGGAAGGGATTTACTTGTTGAGGACCAAACTTCATGTCTGAGTTAAAATTATTAGCTAAAGATTCTTAATTATGTGTTAAATTCTTATCATTAATGGCTTTCTTTGTATTTGTTTTAACTTCTGCCAGACTGATGTCTTTTAATAACCATTTTCATTTATTTTACTCAATTCTGAATTGACAGTTCTTATTAAGGGAAATTGTACTGTGTATGTTAAATGTCCAGATGGAAATTACATTGTTTAAGTTTAATAGTGTATGACTTGTTTTTAAATGTTCCAGAAGAAACTGCATTGTATGTGATGAGATAAAATTGTTCATAGTGTCATTATTCATTTATTTGTTTCATCAATACTTACCACTATGTAACTTCCAGTCCTGTAAATTATTACCATTGAAGTTTACATCAAATTAGAACAAGCACTTTTTTGGTCTGCTACTAGTCCAGCACATGACTTCCCAAGCCTCATACTTCAGTGGAACTTCCTTCAGTGCTGTGTGCAATGTGCGTGTCATGTATTATTGAATAATGTATATAAATTGCCAGAATGATTATGGTGTATCATAAACCAGGTATTTTTATCTTCACTCTTTTCCCAGAAGCACCCACTTATTTACACACAATCAAAATGACTTGATGCTACTAGAGTAATTACTGATTTCTGTACAAAAATTTCCCATTGTATCTTACCTGCTACTGTATTCTGTACATAGGGTAAAGCAATATTTTTTCTATATCAGTGAGTTTATTTCTTAATGTTTTACTTTCTGTTGTATCAAAATCAGCAACAAAAACTCACATGTTAATATGTTATTTGGGGCCGTCCATAAATTTGGTTGCCATATCATTGCTTCAAAGCTGAACTTGAAGATGATAAGGATATTCTTTATGAAGTTGGGTATTTTATAAGGGTGTTTATAGATTGGTTATTAGCTTCAATTGTGAGAAGTGCTCTGATATTTGAAGATAGAATTGTAACTACTGCAGAATATGTGTTATGCAGTTCAGCTTTGAATTGTGTTTATGGCAGGCATTGAAAGGTGAATTAGAGATCTGTGCATGATGAAGATAACAGGTCTTTATTGTATAATAACATTGTGAGCTGTATAAGGCTTCATGCTCCTTGAATACATATCATTTTAACTTCTGAAAAGAATGTAATGTTTATGTTATAAGTGTTATTACAATCAACCAAGAAGTGTATTAAAAATGCCTTCCTTTGTAGTGGCTGATGCACTTACATGCAGAGTAAATAAAACTGTTACATAAGGTTGACATATACAGTATTATTTGTTGGGAATTACTGAATGTTTTGAGAGGCTATGCATGTGAATTAATATGTGTGTTGGTGATCCACATACTAATGATTTATGGGCGATCCCATGATTGGATTGTACTGACAGATACTGTACCAAATTATGACAGGTGGTTTGCTGAACAGCTGTGATGATTTGGTTGTAAATTCTGTTGGCTTAATTAATGAATAATATAATTATATCCTGTAAGTCATTGTCTTTGCAGATATATATTTTTACAGTAATTAATTTTAACTAATTTACATGTGGACTTAGCAGATAGGATTATTATTTGTAATTAATTTATAATACTCATGATTAATGGTATTGTATTATTTGTATTCAAGTGCTGTATTGCAGGGACCATTCATTTAAGTACTCTAGTGTTTTAAATGTATTATCCAGTCACCCAACTGAAACCAAACTGTAATATTACAATATACTAGTTGATTAGTCCAGTATGTGATTTTTATTTTAATTTGTGCCTTTAATCTTCATTCGGGCAGTGTGTCCCATCACAGTACAATTACTGTTGTTCGGGACATTTCGTATACATATGCAAGGTATTACTGTGGCCTACAGTCATTGACAAGTTGAGAATCAAAATAATATTAGACATTAGAGCTATTAAAATTAGTATAAACCTGGTCCTTTCCAGCATATTTATTGTGGCAGTTGCAGTTTCTTGTAAATATTGATGTTAAACTGCAAGTTCCATAAAAGTGGGAAATTTCTTGACTTGCTGAGTGACTGTCAACTTTCATTTAAACCAGCAGTCTGTTTTCCTATCATTGTCAGGATTATTCATACATCTTCCACATTCAAGAAAAGGATCATGTGAATAGGGATTTTGTGATTAACTTCCTGTCAGTTTGGTTAACTCAGCATGTCAGTATCTTCTGGGTAAATGTAAGACAAATGCATATACTGTGTGAACCAACAACTTTACCAGTGTAGGAACTGAGACAGCTACAAAGTACCACCATAGGGAAATAATGTTTGTCATGTCTGCCACCCCTCAGATACCATTGCCTTCTAACAGATCTTGAGCGTGCAGATGCGGCCCTACTACAGTTGGGTGTATATTACACTGGTGATCCGACTGTACCACAATTCCTGCGTGTGTAATACATCAGTCAATAATGAGAAACTTGAGTCGCTGAACTAGTCATTAATTTTCACGCCTTTTATGGAACACGGAAGTTGATTAACTTGTTCACAAGAGCCCGCTACTGGCCCTAATTTGTGCTGAGCCAGATTAATCCGAAAATTCTTAGGAATATAAGACAATACTTTTACGGTGTGTGACTATTGTAACATTTTCTCGGGCGATCAGCCGTGTTAATGTTGAGTAGAATGCCAACGTTTCGGAGACTAATTATGTTTCCTTATTCAGGGAAACAATAATCTATGGAAGTAACCGTTGTCACCTGTGTAAAGCTTGACTAACGAGAATCGATTTGTGTCATTTGGTTATCCATGCTGCGTGACGTCAAGTACCACAGATAATACCAATAAACAATCTGGGTGGCGGTGTAGTTGATGAGGTTGTGAGGTTGGGAATTAGTGTTGAAATTTGCGTGTAAAATTTTTTTAGAACAATTCATGCAGATGATTGGTAGGTGTTGAAAACAGAGACTCTTGTAGAGATATATTTAACAGATTTAATATACTCTCCTTTTCGAATAAATTAAACTTTCACCACTGTTTCATTGTGAATAACATTAAGTTTCAAATATTTTAATGTACGTGATAGAGGTACAAAACATAAACTTGATCTTCATATGTCGAATACTAACTTCGCTAATTATTAGAAAGGTGCATGCTGTGCAGTAATCAAGGTATTCGATATGTTTCTGTCGAACATTAAATGTACAAGTCGTGATGTAAAAGTATTTAAGTGAGCATTGAAAGTGTACCTTTTATCTTCTGCTCTCGGTAGTTTTATGTATATTGGATTCCACATCCTTGGCTTATACAGTGAAGGATGTGTGGAATGTAAATATTTTGTGGTACAGTATTTTTCTTTCTAGAAGGAATTGTATTCATATGTGAAAAAAAAGAGAAAGGAGTTATATTTTTTAAATGACGGGTGTATCAGTTTATGTGATGGTCCAAGTTCAGTAAAGTTTATTTTGAATGTGGAGAATTAACTGCAAGTATTCTGACTACAGTCTTATGATATTGTTTCCAAACTTCCTGGTGCAGGATCTCCCTTTGGCGCTTGATCCTTATTCAGCATTCCAAGGATACATTACTTGGTTAAATAAGTTTTGGATTGGGCTACTTAGAATTCTCAGAGGAAAGTTACTTCTGTAGTACCAACTCAAAAAAAACTATAATTAAGAAACTGATTAGTGATATATGAACAGTTTTGTGGGGAACTGAATTGTTGAAACTATATTTATAAGCAATCATATTTTCTTTTTCTGTCCTCTTTTTTTCTTAGAAGTTCCAGGTGTAACTCTTGATATGTGTTCACTCCCATTCTCAGTGATCATCATCTCTATGTTCTGGATGTTATATCGTAGGTTTTTCAGGTCCTGCATTGCGACCCTGGTCAGTTGACCCTCAGGGGAGTGTGTTGGTTCATACAGCAGTTGTGTGACTGCTTCACGGAGATAGCCCTCTGCTTCTCTGAGCCTCTTGAGTGTGTCTTTAGAAGAAGTGTCCCCAGTGTCCATTTCTCTCATTGCCAGCATCACTATGGGGTTCTGTAGCTCATACAGCGCAATTCCTGGAACAATGAACTAGATGACAGTCCTGCACCATTCATTCTTTTGAATGAAAGTTCAAGTGTTAAATATTTATATTTGTGCCCATTGTAAAGACTGTATGATGTGCATATGTACCTAATATGTAAGTCTAAGAAAGGAACCCTGATTCAGGATCTCAGAATTCTTTGGAATGGTTATGAAGGATTATTCCTTTCTAATGCTAAAAAATGCCTGAAATTTTGAGTCTGAGGGCTTAGAAGTCATATTTTTGCTTAATATAGAGTTACAGCAGAGAATGTTTGGAGATTGTTGGTCTAAAATTCCCATATCTTTTGTTGTTTTTCTTGGCATACTTAGTGCTTATAGTTTAAAATGCTCTGTGAATACTGTAAAACATGAGGGAATGTGATTAGATACCTTGTAGCCTGGAAATTCCTGGTTCAACCACTTGTAGTACTGGGAGCATGTCTCGGCAGAGTTCAATCTTTCTGTTTAAAATCTTTCTTGAAGGATTCGGCTGTTGAAGAATCATGTCACGATATGTAGCAACTAGAGCCTGTTTCAATTCTAATATTACAAAATGCTGTGGTGGAAATGTCCTTAGCAGTCGGCATAAAAGGTCTTCCATAGCTGGAGCATCACTTCTATCAATGTCATTAAGTTGACAACGTGCTAATGATACTGTTGTTGCTATGAGGTTGGGTTGATATCGATGTTTGCAGCTGTTACATTCCCATGCACTGTTCATTTGTTTTGCTTGTTCTTGTGGAATTCTAGTTGCTGTGGGATTTGTTGATGTGATTAAACCTTTGTAACAGTGAACACAGTGAATAGAGCTCATATGTGTCCCCAATTCAGTGGGATCAGAACATCTTCTACAGGTACAGTCGAAATATTTGCCTTCTCGTAGATGCATTTGTCTATCCCAGGTTCCCTAACAGAAACAAAAGCATCAGTATGGTATGAACAAACATTTTTAAATTCTGTCTATTTAGAAAGGTATGATGATGACAGGCAAGTTACAATGTGGTTAAATTGTTAAAACATGTTTAAAGCAAAATGTTAGTATATATTTTATAGAATATGGAAAGTTAAAAACTTTAAGTTGGTTTGTTACCTGGTTTAGAGCTGTTAATATCAGTACAGACAATGATGAGAAATGGTGACTTTATTCTAGGTTGGTATTTTAATGAGAAAGTAATCATGTACTCTGAGATGCATGTGTATCTGCTAGTGACAATGCATTCTAACGTAAGGCACATCAAATTTAATATATTTCAGACCACTTAGGTATGTTCTGATACATAAATTGAAAATTTATCATGTCAGCCTGATTGTTTATCTGCCCACTGGTAATAACACCTAAATTACTGGATGGAGCATCATTTATGTTGCATAATGGTTAAAAGTAAAAAAGTAAAGTCCCACTATATGTCATGTAGGCGCTTGGGGATGGGGGAGGTATAGCTCCTACTCATTCTTGACTTCAGTACTAGATAGGGGTGAGTGGTCAGCATCACACTCTAGCTGCTCTTTACCCCCAGGAAGGGACCCTGGTACCCATTCGATAGTATGCTGGGTGGGCCCCAGAACCAGTCTGGAAGGAGAAGCTAGAGGAAAAATCCTCTGCCCCCCCTCGGGGATCAAACCCCAGTCGTCCAGTCTGTAGCCAGTCGCTATACTGACTGAGCTATGCCTGCTCATGTAATCATGTGTACCTGCATAGCACTTGTGTAGTTAAAGTAAATGGGATGTCCTTGTGGTATTGTTATGCTGGCATGAACAGTCATCTGGAAATCGTCATCCACAGCCAGATGTGTATTGGCAACACAGTCGTGGGCCATGAGTGCTGCCTTCAGGTACACCCCTCTCAGTCTCTCTCTCTCTCCTGATTTTGTTGGTGGACCACGAAGTTCAAAACTGTTGACGTCCAGAATTGCGCATATTCTCTGCACACAATCTGTGTCTTCTGCCAGTGTGAGTAGGCCATGTGACTGGAGCACCTGAACAACAACAACACCATGCTGTGTTGAAAAAGACAGCCATCTTTATACTTACCATGTCACCATGAAAATATCAGATCTCACTTAGTATGCTAGTCACTCAATAAAATTATTGATGTTAGAGTTTATACCAGTTGTATTACAACAAACTATCTACATTGGGCAGAAGCTAGTAGTTACTCAGCTAGTTGATAAATTGTTTTTATAGAATCTAAATATTCTGGTCCCAATCCACACCTTCATATCTTACCTTCTTAAGATATTTTTAATAGTATCCTCCTATTGATGTTTAGGCCTCACAAGAAATTCATGCGGATACATGCTTAGAAATTCCCTAGGTAGAAATCTGAGGAATCCAGTTGTGCAAGAACTTTACTGAAGTATGAAGCCAATCAATATGTGAACCAGAAAAATAAGGGTTTCAAAATAATCCAGTCCATACTCTCACACTCATTTTTTTTATCCATTTCAATATTGTACTTCTGTATTTGTCTTGATTTTTCATGTGATCTCTTCCTTTTAGTTTTTTGACGAAAATTGTGTTCATAGTTTTCATCTCTCCAATCCCTGTTACATGCCCCATTCATCTTGTCTTCCCTCCTTAATGTGATTTCACCAACAATATTTGGTCAAAGAGCACACATTATGTACCTTTTCATTAATCGTTCTTAGGTCAAAATGTTATCCTCACCATCCTTTTCTGTGACACCTTCAATCAGTACTTCCTTCAAGGTTAGAGACACATTCAACACAGCAGGCAAGAAACCTAGTTTAGTATTTCTTAGTGTTTTCATTGTTATAGGGGATGTCCAGACAAATTATTCATAACTGAACTGTAGCATGTATTCCCTGAATTTTATCTGCTCTTAATTTGTTTGTGAAAGCAGTTTTGGCTTCCAAACATTTGAACTTGTACACATTTTTTATGGATTTAATAAATATATTTAGGCCTACATAATGATTTTGACTTGTGTTCTGGTGAAAGGCATGAACATATACTTTGTAAATTCTGCATTTATTTTTAGGCAAATCTTCTCACTGGCATTTCCTAGGGCTTCTGTGCTGGTCTTCTTGTCATTTTTTGGCCCAATAAATTTACAGTTCTTTCAATAAAGCAGCAGACTTTGAAAGATAATTGTTTCTTACATCTATTACATTGAGTTGGTGATCCCTCCATATGAGGGTGCCCCTCCTTTTCTCATCATGTGACTCTAGTTCTAGGAATGATGTCCATTTGGAATCTGTAGATGAATTTCGAAGTTGTAATAGGCATCTCAAAGGCAGTACTATCTGGCTGTTATTTGGCAGAACTAACTGGTCCTTCCTTGCTGCTTCCTTCAGGATGTTGCATTCTGTGTCATTGTGTGCTCTACTGCGTTCGCAGTGAACACCACAGACTGGAGCCACCAGACACAGTGAACAGCGGGGTTGCTGACTCAGGGGGAGTGGCTTGTAACAGGCCAGACAAATTGGGTTAGAGTCCACTCGAGGACCCACCACCAGTGGCCTCTCCTTCAGGATTACTTCTCCTGGTTTAATATCACGTGATGCAGCCAGATATCTGTGGGAAACATGAAGTTGTTATTTTCTAATAGCATCCCTTTTAGATTTGTTTAAAAAAAATTGTGTCTGTTGAGTAAAATTGGAACTGCAACAGATGTGTTTACAAGACGAATTTGCTCATGAGATAGCATGGTGTCCCACTATTGAGGCGTTTGTCTGAAGATAGAAGCTGTATTCTATTTTTATATTTTGGAGAAAGTTGCATAGAGGGACTACATTTACTGTTATTCAGTCGATAGGTATAATTTTCTATGCATTCGATTGGGTCTAAATTATTAACACAACATTGTTAAGTATACTGATAAATATGTTAACTATCATCTTGGTAAGTGAATAACACCCTGAATGCGGTCTCCTTGGTCGTTGCAAATTGTTGGCCAACTTTATTCTCACCACTGTGCGAACCTGAAATGTCACTGAGTTACTCTGTAATGATCTTTAGTAGGCACTTCTGCCTTTTTCTTGGAGGTTTTCCTGAGTGCCTCTACAGGTAAATAACCCGATAATTTCTTGGCATTGGCCAGTGTCACATCCCTTCATCTTTCTGTCTGCTTACCATTGATGATCATTGGATTCTGTGTATTATCTGTATTTAAAACAGTTGTCAGATAACCCAAGAATGAATAAGTCAACATGTGTTGATCCTACTCTTCATAATCAAATCCAATTTACAATTATCTAATAAGTTTTTTCTCATATTGACTGTTTTGTTCACCTTCCAAGTGTGTCAGAGCGCTGAATGATGTATGGATTACAGAGCATCTTGTGTTTTGTCCAGTGGCTTTTCTGGTGATTGGGCCTTCAGTAAGGTACAGTCACACACTCGTCACACACCACCCACTGGTTGCCTGCCCCAATGCTGTTCATGTCTCTCTCCATTCTGGAATTCCATTAAAGTAAGCATTTGTGACAATATGAATAAAACTGAGGCTTATTTCTTAAAATAGAATTTTAGAGAAGATTTCTGTCTTCTGGGTTGTTGCGCTGTGTAGTCTGGTCGATGTTTACCAACGTTTCAGAGGTCATACTGCCTCCATCATCAGGGCGATGAGTATGAAGATTTCTGTCTTCTGGGTTGTTGCTGATCTGAAGCTTTCATGGTGACCAAGTTTAATGAATTCTTCTCAGACTACCAACCATGTCAGGTGTTTGAATGGAGAAAACACCAGTGTTTCAAGAACCATGTTCGTCGCCATCCTCAGGGTACAGAAGTTCTGTACCCTGAGGATGAGGACGAACATGGTTCTTGAAACACTGGTGTTTTCTCCATTCCATACAGAAGTTCTGTACTCTGAGGATGAGGACAAAATGTTGATGTTTTCTACATTCAACCACCTGACGTGGCTGGTAGCCCGAGAAGAATTCAACATACATAAATACTCTATTCATTGAATCAGGTATTTATTCTTAATGTGGATGCATTTGGTTATACTGTGCATAAATTTCAATACCTAAGGAAGGGATTTACTTGTTGAGGACCAAACTTCATGTCTGAGTTAAAATTATTAGCTAAAGATTCTTAATTATGTGTTAAATTCTTATCATTAATGGCTTTCTTTGTATTTGTTTTAACTTCTGCCAGACTGATGTCTTTTAATAACCATTTTCATTTATTTTACTCAATTCTGAATTGACAGTTCTTATTAAGGGAAATTGTACTGTGTATGTTAAATGTCCAGATGGAAATTACATTGTTTAAGTTTAATAGTGTATGACTTGTTTTTAAATGTTCCAGAAGAAACTGCATTGTATGTGATGAGATAAAATTGTTCATAGTGTCATTATTCATTTATTTGTTTCATCAATACTTACCACTATGTAACTTCCAGTCCTGTAAATTATTACCATTGAAGTTTACATCAAATTAGAACAAGCACTTTTTTGGTCTGCTACTAGTCCAGCACATGACTTCCCAAGCCTCATACTTCAGTGGAACTTCCTTCAGTGCTGTGTGCAATGTGCGTGTCATGTATTATTGAATAATGTATATAAATTGCCAGAATGATTATGGTGTATCATAAACCAGGTATTTTTATCTTCACTCTTTTCCCAGAAGCACCCACTTATTTACACACAATCAAAATGACTTGATGCTACTAGAGTAATTACTGATTTCTGTACAAAAATTTCCCATTGTATCTTACCTGCTACTGTATTCTGTACATAGGGTAAAGCAATATTTTTTCTATATCAGTGAGTTTATTTCTTAATGTTTTACTTTCTGTTGTATCAAAATCAGCAACAAAAACTCACATGTTAATATGTTATTTGGGGCCGTCCATAAATTTGGTTGCCATATCATTGCTTCAAAGCTGAACTTGAAGATGATAAGGATATTCTTTATGAAGTTGGGTATTTTATAAGGGTGTTTATAGATTGGTTATTAGCTTCAATTGTGAGAAGTGCTCTGATATTTGAAGATAGAATTGTAACTACTGCAGAATATGTGTTATGCAGTTCAGCTTTGAATTGTGTTTATGGCAGGCATTGAAAGGTGAATTAGAGATCTGTGCATGATGAAGATAACAGGTCTTTATTGTATAATAACATTGTGAGCTGTATAAGGCTTCATGCTCCTTGAATACATATCATTTTAACTTCTGAAAAGAATGTAATGTTTATGTTATAAGTGTTATTACAATCAACCAAGAAGTGTATTAAAAATGCCTTCCTTTGTAGTGGCTGATGCACTTACATGCAGAGTAAATAAAACTGTTACATAAGGTTGACATATACAGTATTATTTGTTGGGAATTACTGAATGTTTTGAGAGGCTATGCATGTGAATTAATATGTGTGTTGGTGATCCACATACTAATGATTTATGGGCGATCCCATGATTGGATTGTACTGACAGATACTGTACCAAATTATGACAGGTGGTTTGCTGAACAGCTGTGATGATTTGGTTGTAAATTCTGTTGGCTTAATTAATGAATAATATAATTATATCCTGTAAGTCATTGTCTTTGCAGATATATATTTTTACAGTAATTAATTTTAACTAATTTACATGTGGACTTAGCAGATAGGATTATTATTTGTAATTAATTTATAATACTCATGATTAATGGTATTGTATTATTTGTATTCAAGTGCTGTATTGCAGGGACCATTCATTTAAGTACTCTAGTGTTTTAAATGTATTATCCAGTCACCCAACTGAAACCAAACTGTAATATTACAATATACTAGTTGATTAGTCCAGTATGTGATTTTTATTTTAATTTGTGCCTTTAATCTTCATTCGGGCAGTGTGTCCCATCACAGTACAATTACTGTTGTTCGGGACATTTCGTATACATATGCAAGGTATTACTGTGGCCTACAGTCATTGACAAGTTGAGAATCAAAATAATATTAGACATTAGAGCTATTAAAATTAGTATAAACCTGGTCCTTTCCAGCATATTTATTGTGGCAGTTGCAGTTTCTTGTAAATATTGATGTTAAACTGCAAGTTCCATAAAAGTGGGAAATTTCTTGACTTGCTGAGTGACTGTCAACTTTCATTTAAACCAGCAGTCTGTTTTCCTATCATTGTCAGGATTATTCATACATCTTCCACATTCAAGAAAAGGATCATGTGAATAGGGATTTTGTGATTAACTTCCTGTCAGTTTGGTTAACTCAGCATGTCAGTATCTTCTGGGTAAATGTAAGACAAATGCATATACTGTGTGAACCAACAACTTTACCAGTGTAGGAACTGAGACAGCTACAAAGTACCACCATAGGGAAATAATGTTTGTCATGTCTGCCACCCCTCAGATACCATTGCCTTCTAACAGATCTTGAGCGTGCAGATGCGGCCCTACTACAGTTGGGTGTATATTACACTGGTGATCCGACTGTACCACAATTCCTGCGTGTGTAATACATCAGTCAATAATGAGAAACTTGAGTCGCTGAACTAGTCATTAATTTTCACGCCTTTTATGGAACACGGAAGTTGATTAACTTGTTCACAAGAGCCCGCTACTGGCCCTAATTTGTGCTGAGCCAGATTAATCCGAAAATTCTTAGGAATATAAGACAATACTTTTACGGTGTGTGACTATTGTAACATTTTCTCGGGCGATCAGCCGTGTTAATGTTGAGTAGAATGCCAACGTTTCGGAGACTAATTATGTTTCCTTATTCAGGGAAACAATAATCTATGGAAGTAACCGTTGTCACCTGTGTAAAGCTTGACTAACGAGAATCGATTTGTGTCATTTGGTTATCCATGCTGCGTGACGTCAAGTACCACAGATAATACCAATAAACAATCTGGGTGGCGGTGTAGTTGATGAGGTTGTGAGGTTGGGAATTAGTGTTGAAATTTGCGTGTAAAATTTTTTTAGAACAATTCATGCAGATGATTGGTAGGTGTTGAAAACAGAGACTCTTGTAGAGATATATTTAACAGATTTAATATACTCTCCTTTTCGAATAAATTAAACTTTCACCACTGTTTCATTGTGAATAACATTAAGTTTCAAATATTTTAATGTACGTGATAGAGGTACAAAACATAAACTTGATCTTCATATGTCGAATACTAACTTCGCTAATTATTAGAAAGGTGCATGCTGTGCAGTAATCAAGGTATTCGATATGTTTCTGTCGAACATTAAATGTACAAGTCGTGATGTAAAAGTATTTAAGTGAGCATTGAAAGTGTACCTTTTATCTTCTGCTCTCGGTAGTTTTATGTATATTGGATTCCACATCCTTGGCTTATACAGTGAAGGATGTGTGGAATGTAAATATTTTGTGGTACAGTATTTTTCTTTCTAGAAGGAATTGTATTCATATGTGAAAAAAAAGAGAAAGGAGTTATATTTTTTAAATGACGGGTGTATCAGTTTATGTGATGGTCCAAGTTCAGTAAAGTTTATTTTGAATGTGGAGAATTAACTGCAAGTATTCTGACTACAGTCTTATGATATTGTTTCCAAACTTCCTGGTGCAGGATCTCCCTTTGGCGCTTGATCCTTATTCAGCATTCCAAGGATACATTACTTGGTTAAATAAGTTTTGGATTGGGCTACTTAGAATTCTCAGAGGAAAGTTACTTCTGTAGTACCAACTCAAAAAAAACTATAATTAAGAAACTGATTAGTGATATATGAACAGTTTTGTGGGGAACTGAATTGTTGAAACTATATTTATAAGCAATCATATTTTCTTTTTCTGTCCTCTTTTTTTCTTAGAAGTTCCAGGTGTAACTCTTGATATGTGTTCACTCCCATTCTCAGTGATCATCATCTCTATGTTCTGGATGTTATATCGTAGGTTTTTCAGGTCCTGCATTGCGACCCTGGTCAGTTGACCCTCAGGGGAGTGTGTTGGTTCATACAGCAGTTGTGTGACTGCTTCACGGAGATAGCCCTCTGCTTCTCTGAGCCTCTTGAGTGTGTCTTTAGAAGAAGTGTCCCCAGTGTCCATTTCTCTCATTGCCAGCATCACTATGGGGTTCTGTAGCTCATACAGCGCAATTCCTGGAACAATGAACTAGATGACAGTCCTGCACCATTCATTCTTTTGAATGAAAGTTCAAGTGTTAAATATTTATATTTGTGCCCATTGTAAAGACTGTATGATGTGCATATGTACCTAATATGTAAGTCTAAGAAAGGAACCCTGATTCAGGATCTCAGAATTCTTTGGAATGGTTATGAAGGATTATTCCTTTCTAATGCTAAAAAATGCCTGAAATTTTGAGTCTGAGGGCTTAGAAGTCATATTTTTGCTTAATATAGAGTTACAGCAGAGAATGTTTGGAGATTGTTGGTCTAAAATTCCCATATCTTTTGTTGTTTTTCTTGGCATACTTAGTGCTTATAGTTTAAAATGCTCTGTGAATACTGTAAAACATGAGGGAATGTGATTAGATACCTTGTAGCCTGGAAATTCCTGGTTCAACCACTTGTAGTACTGGGAGCATGTCTCGGCAGAGTTCAATCTTTCTGTTTAAAATCTTTCTTGAAGGATTCGGCTGTTGAAGAATCATGTCACGATATGTAGCAACTAGAGCCTGTTTCAATTCTAATATTACAAAATGCTGTGGTGGAAATGTCCTTAGCAGTCGGCATAAAAGGTCTTCCATAGCTGGAGCATCACTTCTATCAATGTCATTAAGTTGACAACGTGCTAATGATACTGTTGTTGCTATGAGGTTGGGTCGATATCGATGTTTGCAGCTGTTACATTCCCATGCACTGTTCATTTGTTTTGCTTGTTCTTGTGGAATTCTAGTTGCTGTGGGATTTGTTGATGTGATTAAACCTTTGTAACAGTGAACACAGTGAATAGAGCTCATATGTGTCCCCAATTCAGTGGGATCAGAACATCTTCTACAGGTACAGTCGAAATATTTGCCTTCTCGTAGATGCATTTGTCTATCCCAGGTTCCCTAACAGAAACAAAAGCATCAGTATGGTATGAACAAACATTTTTAAATTCTGTCTATTTAGAAAGGTATGATGATGACAGGCAAGTTACAATGTGGTTAAATTGTTAAAACATGTTTAAAGCAAAATGTTAGTATATATTTTATAGAATATGGAAAGTTAAAAACTTTAAGTTGGTTTGTTACCTGGTTTAGAGCTGTTAATATCAGTACAGACAATGATGAGAAATGGTGACTTTATTCTAGGTTGGTATTTTAATGAGAAAGTAATCATGTACTCTGAGATGCATGTGTATCTGCTAGTGACAATGCATTCTAACGTAAGGCACATCAAATTTAATATATTTCAGACCACTTAGGTATGTTCTGATACATAAATTGAAAATTTATCATGTCAGCCTGATTGTTTATCTGCCCACTGGTAATAACACCTAAATTACTGGATGGAGCATCATTTATGTTGCATAATGGTTAAAAGTAAAAAAGTAAAGTCCCACTATATGTCATGTAGGCGCTTGGGGATGGGGGAGGTATAGCTCCTACTCATTCTTGACTTCAGTACTAGATAGGGGTGAGTGGTCCGCATCACACCCTAGCTGCTCTTTACCCCCAGGAAGGGACCCTGGTACCCATTCGATAGTATGCTGGGTGGGCCCCAGAACCAGTCTGGAAGGAGAAGCTAGAGGAAAAATCCTCTGCCCCCCCTCGGGGATCAAACCCCAGTCGTCCAGTCTGTAGCCAGTCGCTATACTGACTGAGCTATGCCTGCTCATGTAATCATGTGTACCTGCATAGCACTTGTGTAGTTAAAGTAAATGGGATGTCCTTGTGGTATTGTTATGCTGGCATGAACAGTCATCTGGAAATCGTCATCCACAGCCAGATGTGTATTGGCAACACAGTCGTGGGCCATGAGTGCTGCCTTCAGGTACACCCCTCTCAGTCTCTCTCTCTCTCCTGATTTTGTTGGTGGACCACGAAGTTCAAAACTGTTGACGTCCAGAATTGCGCATATTCTCTGCACACAATCTGTGTCTTCTGCCAGTGTGAGTAGGCCATGTGACTGGAGCACCTGAACAACAACAACACCATGCTGTGTTGAAAAAGACAGCCATCTTTATACTTACCATGTCACCATGAAAATATCAGATCTCACTTAGTATGCTAGTCACTCAATAAAATTATTGATGTTAGAGTTTATACCAGTTGTATTACAACAAACTATCTACATTGGGCAGAAGCTAGTAGTTACTCAGCTAGTTGATAAATTGTTTTTATAGAATCTAAATATTCTGGTCCCAATCCACACCTTCATATCTTACCTTCTTAAGATATTTTTAATAGTATCCTCCTATTGATGTTTAGGCCTCACAAGAAATTCATGCGGATACATGCTTAGAAATTCCCTAGGTAGAAATCTGAGGAATCCAGTTGTGCAAGAACTTTACTGAAGTATGAAGCCAATCAATATGTGAACCAGAAAAATAAGGGTTTCAAAATAATCCAGTCCATACTCTCACACTCATTTTTTTTATCCATTTCAATATTGTACTTCTGTATTTGTCTTGATTTTTCATGTGATCTCTTCCTTTTAGTTTTTTGACGAAAATTGTGTTCATAGTTTTCATCTCTCCAATCCCTGTTACATGCCCCATTCATCTTGTCTTCCCTCCTTAATGTGATTTCACCAACAATATTTGGTCAAAGAGCACACATTATGTACCTTTTCATTAATCGTTCTTAGGTCAAAATGTTATCCTCACCATCCTTTTCTGTGACACCTTCAATCAGTACTTCCTTCAAGGTTAGAGACACATTCAACACAGCAGGCAAGAAACCTAGTTTAGTATTTCTTAGTGTTTTCATTGTTATAGGGGATGTCCAGACAAATTATTCATAACTGAACTGTAGCATGTATTCCCTGAATTTTATCTGCTCTTAATTTGTTTGTGAAAGCAGTTTTGGCTTCCAAACATTTGAACTTGTACACATTTTTTATGGATTTAATAAATATATTTAGGCCTACATAATGATTTTGACTTGTGTTCTGGTGAAAGGCATGAACATATACTTTGTAAATTCTGCATTTATTTTTAGGCAAATCTTCTCACTGGCATTTCCTAGGGCTTCTGTGCTGGTCTTCTTGTCATTTTTTGGCCCAATAAATTTACAGTTCTTTCAATAAAGCAGCAGACTTTGAAAGATAATTGTTTCTTACATCTATTACATTGAGTTGGTGATCCCTCCATATGAGGGTGCCCCTCCTTTTCTCATCATGTGACTCTAGTTCTAGGAATGATGTCCATTTGGAATCTGTAGATGAATTTCGAAGTTGTAATAGGCATCTCAAAGGCAGTACTATCTGGCTGTTATTTGGCAGAACTAACTGGTCCTTCCTTGCTGCTTCCTTCAGGATGTTGCATTCTGTGTCATTGTGTGCTCTACTGCGTTCGCAGTGAACACCACAGACTGGAGCCACCAGACACAGTGAACAGCGGGGTTGCTGACTCAGGGGGAGTGGCTTGTAACAGGCCAGACAAATTGGGTTAGAGTCCACTCGAGGACCCACCACCAGTGGCCTCTCCTTCAGGATTACTTCTCCTGGTTTAATATCACGTGATGCAGCCAGATATCTGTGGGAAACATGAAGTTGTTATTTTCTAATAGCATCCCTTTTAGATTTGTTTAAAAAAAATTGTGTCTGTTGAGTAAAATTGGAACTGCAACAGATGTGTTTACAAGACGAATTTGCTCATGAGATAGCATGGTGTCCCACTATTGAGGCGTTTGTCTGAAGATAGAAGCTGTATTCTATTTTTATATTTTGGAGAAAGTTGCATAGAGGGACTACATTTACTGTTATTCAGTCGATAGGTATAATTTTCTATGCATTCGATTGGGTCTAAATTATTAACACAACATTGTTAAGTATACTGATAAATATGTTAACTATCATCTTGGTAAGTGAATAACACCCTGAATGCGGTCTCCTTGGTCGTTGCAAATTGTTGGCCAACTTTATTCTCACCACTGTGCGAACCTGAAATGTCACTGAGTTACTCTGTAATGATCTTTAGTAGGCACTTCTGCCTTTTTCTTGGAGGTTTTCCTGAGTGCCTCTACAGGTAAATAACCCGATAATTTCTTGGCATTGGCCAGTGTCACATCCCTTCATCTTTCTGTCTGCTTACCATTGATGATCATTGGATTCTGTGTATTATCTGTATTTAAAACAGTTGTCAGATAACCCAAGAATGAATAAGTCAACATGTGTTGATCCTACTCTTCATAATCAAATCCAATTTACAATTATCTAATAAGTTTTTTCTCATATTGACTGTTTTGTTCACCTTCCAAGTGTGTCAGAGCGCTGAATGATGTATGGATTACAGAGCATCTTGTGTTTTGTCCAGTGGCTTTTCTGGTGATTGGGCCTTCAGTAAGGTACAGTCACACACTCGTCACACACCACCCACTGGTTGCCTGCCCCAATGCTGTTCATGTCTCTCTCCATTCTGGAATTCCATTAAAGTAAGCATTTGTGACAATATGAATAAAACTGAGGCTTATTTCTTAAAATAGAATTTTAGAGAAGATTTCTGTCTTCTGGGTTGTTGCGCTGTGTAGTCTGGTCGATGTTTACCAACGTTTCAGAGGTCATACTGCCTCCATCATCAGGGCGATGAGTATGAAGATTTCTGTCTTCTGGGTTGTTGCGCTGTGTAGTCTGGTTGATGTTAACCAACGTTTCAGAGGTCATACTGCCTCCGTCATCACCCTGATTACGGAGGCAGTATGACCTCTGAAACGTTGGCTAACATCAACCTGACTACACAGCGCTACAACCCAGAAGACAGCAATCTTCATACTCACTGCCGTGAAAACCTCAAATCTTACAATTTTAGAGAAGTCTGCAAAGTGATCAGTGTTGTGAAAAATATTTATTTCACATTCCATTTGTTTTTCAGGTTGTATAATGATGGTCTATAAACTAAAGAATTGTTTGTGATGATTTTGTATGTTTGGTTGGAAGGGGCTGGGGAAAAGCAAGTGTTTGCCTATGTGGACAAAATTACTTTCTTAAAAATTTGTATTAAAATGTGTAAATGGGAATGATGGAAATTTACAAAATAGGTCTAAATTAATAGTAGCTGTATGTACTTAACGCTTTCATGCAAAATGTAATACTGACTTATTGGCATGATTCATAATAATATTCAGGTTTTTCAAGTATTCCACAAAATTTAAATAAGCGCTGGTTAGAACTTGTTACACCCCCTTTTCTGAACATTTTTCAGTAAGTTTATTAAAATAAAATCTAAAAAGTACATAAAATAATCTCAAAGTTTGAGGGGGGCCCCATATTGGTACATTTGAACACAAACAGATAATTTTCTGAACTGTTTAAAGACCCTAGTTCAAGATTTGGATGCTACAGATTGGGTAAATGGGGAATGGATGATAATTCTTAACGAGGAACTTTTTCGCTTATCGACATTCATTATTACGATAATTATGAGGCCGTCGTCATGATTTTTGCTTGAAAAGGAAATTAATATGAAATTTTGGATATTGCGGAAGTCGATACTAAGGGTGGATGGAATTGGCTTTGGTTACTTCCAGTGTTGGTTGTGTTGAAACAAAAGGCTTTACTTCTGACGAGTTAGTGAATTTTTACCAAGTGTGTGAGAGCCGTTCTTCCAATTTGTAACATATGCATGCCAGTTACATAATGCGAGAGAAAGTAAACACTGAAGCGTCAGTTTACATTACTGGATTTAGTAGGCCTACTAAAAATAAATAACCGACAGTGACTCATAGCATAAAGAAGTACGGTGAGGTGACACAAATTTTGGAAGCGTCATCATTGATTTTTCCCTTTAACGCCCTTCTCACGCACATGCATGTACGTATACACGCGTGTTTACTTGTGTCCAGTATACCTGTAAGTATAAAACTATATTAAAAACACTACCTTTTATCCCAGTTCTGCACACTTAACTTACAAGCGTATTTAACGTTGTAAATACTGGGCTAAGGAAGAAATAGTGCCCCAACATGTAACACACGCACATATGCCCGTGAGAGTCGGAAACATCGCTTAAAAATAATACGGCAAGACGTAAATGTATATAATTTGACATTTCGATTTCTTTTTATCTTGTTCTTGGCCGGAATCACTTCATTGAGCTGTTACGTTTACGTAGAGAGGGGAGAAGTTCTAAATTATGTAATTAATTAGCAGTTATGAAAACGTTATTGAGTGATATCACTATTTTAACCGTATTTTCGTAGTTGATGCAGCATCGTTAAATAATTTTAAAAGCAAGCATTGGAATAGGCACCAAACAAATTATTTTCAGTTGTATATTAAATAAACCAGAATTTCTTTAATTTTGTTTTCTGTTCTGGGGTCAGACTTAAACATATTGACTACAAAAAAATAATGTTCAGTGTTACAGCTTTTCGGACCACCGTACTGGTGGCCTTGTGCAAATTACTTACGCCTCAGAACATGACATGTATCACGTGCACACATTAAGTATCAGTTTAAAAAAAAAACGAAAAGTTCAAACACTTCTTGGCGTCTGTAACTTTCTGCAGGCCTAAATTATTATTCAGTTGGAGACATATATGAAAGATATTCTAATACTCAGATATTTCGTGCAGTTAGAAGCGTTATTAGATTCTAATGATGCGTGATCCTGTCACATCTAAGTATATGAAAATTCGAAATGCAAACAGTATTATCCCGTTCCGTATATAAACACCTCCCACTTTTCCCTGAATATGTAGGCAGTGTGTTTGTCGAAAATGTAAGAAATATTTTCCACTGATAACACGGCAGCAGAACCCAGAAGAGAGTATTAACAAATTATATAAGAATTCGCTGTGAATTCCTGAAATCTTACACTAAGTAAAATGTTTTGTTTACCTGCTGGTATAATTCCTGTAATGTTACGCGGTCGTTATGTTGTGGAACAGTTCACTGCGACTTGGTCCATGTAAGGACGGCAGTAGAATTACAAATTATCGTCCTATAAAATAATAGACTTAATTTAAAAGCACATTTTCTAGTTATGAAACACAATATAAATAGTGCACAATATTATCATCACAAGAGGATGGCGCGTGAAATCGACAAGACTTAATATAAGAAGTTGCTTGTACTTAGAATAAGAAAACTTCCCCCTTTCCTGTTGTGTGCCAGACATATCCTTGTTTCTTTGGCCCCGTGTCCCGAACCCCTGAGCTCAGGTCTGATGGCTGCTATTTTAATCGAAACCTGTGTTTTAATTTTAACTTAAGTCTTATTATCTTGCACATCAATACAGATGACTTGTTGTTAGAAGTACCTTTGGGATACGGGCTTGATGGAATTGTCTTTGTAGTTTGTACGTTGTCTGTAAGTGGCGAGGTGAAATGATTGTATGAACCTGTGAAGTGTGCAATTTATTATTTGGAGACAGACATGTTAATGCTAGCAGAGTACCTGCAGTGTTGCGTACATTTCTTATCGGTCTTATTGCCCTAAAGCTTACCGCAGGCCTGATCGTTTGTTATGTATCCTTGAAGAACAAAGGGAAAAAAAGTATTATTCGTCCCTAAACCCAACATCTTCGCCGAGGTTTCGGGTATGTGACATTGGTTCCTATAATCTCGCCGAAACAATTTCGTTCCTTTCCGGGCTACTAGAACCGCCCTTACTGGGCTCGAAATCAGTTCATTTTTCGGAGTTTTTACCATTCTGTATTCTCTTCCTGGTCTCAGGGAATAAACATGCCACGTTTGGTGCAAATTGGTCTATTCGTTCTCGAGTTAAAAGCGAACAAACAGTTTTAACGTTATGTGTAAGATTTTATCTTTATTACTAAATCTGAATTTATGTCATCGTGGATTACAGGATTATATACATAGGAAGTATTTAGGTACATATTAAATTACTACTTAGCAAATAGCATGTCTAAGTTTATTTTTCTGTGTTTAGTATTGTACGCCTCCGTCTTCGTATCGCGTTGTGACGTGATATTCTTCTGTACTTTGGATTTTATAGTTCGGCTATGAAATTTAATTGAATTTATACAAAACAGAACTCTCTTACAAGTTACACAATCTTAATAACGTGTCAGCTCGATATCTTATCACTAACAAGGATCACTACACATTCACTGGAGCAGGGGTTGGCAACCTGTGGGTCGCATGTGACCCTCGGAACCTTTATATACGGCTCGTTACATGATTTGCGAATTAGGCAATGCGAGAAGGGCAAAAGTTCAATGCTGCTGAGGAGAACGGTTATATAAAAATGCATGCCTGTACTTTATCTAATCATAAGGGCAAACGACTGTTAAGAATATATTTTAATTAAACAAAAATGTTGTAGATGCTGGTCTATAACGTTAAAATCGCTTTACGATGTAAAGTTACATTGATCCGTTATTTAAACCTCATGAAATTTAACAGGAAAATATGAATGTTTCAAAATTAACCAACTAAAACTTAATACCTATGTCGAATTTTTAATGTTCCTGCTTTGTATTAGGGAAATATCGGGTTCCGGTCCTTGGAGCTCTGTTTGTCAGAAGTTTCTGTTGCTGTGGATATAGAATTATACATTTGTTGTGTGAAAACTGTTGTTTGTAAACGTGACTACTGCTTTAGGTTGATGTGGGCTTGTATAATTTGTATTAGTATAAGGTCGTACCTGAAAGTACACAATCACTCTTTAGGTACATTTGCACTAGGTTCTAACATCTCCTTATACTTTGTTATTCAACTGCAGAATACAGTTTGTATTTTAAGTTAGTTTAGAGAAGGGAGTGGAAAGAATGTTCGAACGTATTTGGTGCGCTCTTCGTTTATTCCCAGTGGGAATTATTTTTAGAGACGAGAACAACTAATTTTAGTAGCTTGCTCCTAGTGAGGGGTTCACAGGAACATGAGATTTCTAAGTGGCGGATTCTTCTGAGGTGTCACTTTATCGGACACTAAATTCTTTTTCTGACAAACTAGTTTATGACTGGGGAAGAGATTCAATAGATTCACGAAGTTTTTGCAGAGATTGCTGGCTGATCGCTGCGATTATTCCTTCTGGTGAGGATGGATGTTCAAATTTCAGAATAGCCACTGCCTCGCTGAGATATTTCTCAGCTTCTTCTAGTCGGACTCTCAACTTTTTATCGTCAATTTCCTTATACCGCCATTGGCTACGGGCAAACAGCATAACTGGTGCGTGAAGTTCATACAGAGTCATCCCTGAAATCACACATTTGTAATATAAATTGTTTTGAACAGCCGACTAAGAACAGGGTTCTTCTTGAGGAGCTCATGGTCAGTGTAGTCAAAAACCTCAACGCCGTTCATGGGACTCAAATGTTGTTGATTGCAGTTTTCTGAGTTGTGACGCCGTGGAGCCTTGTAGGTGGATGAGGAATGTATCTCATTTAGTCTTAAAATGAGAAAACCACTATTGACGTATTTACCACCGAGGGAATTACAAAATCCAAACGTTTCTTACGAATTTACACAGACTAATCTCTAGGCATATATTTTTGCACCTAACCGTTTAATGTTATAATAGCCGTAGCAGACTTATGGGTCATTGAAGTATAAGAACTGAACCCAAAATGACCGACCTCTTAGTCTTGAAAGTCCGGGTTCGATTACGTCTGCAACCGACAGGACATCCTTGCAGATCTCAATCTTTCGTTCGAGCAGGATGTCTGGTAGGTCTTCCAAGACGTAGCCTTCGGCTCGGCCGTACAGCTGGGACAAGGAACACCGCAGGATCGTCAAGAAGGCGTGCTTGGGGTGCAGAACGGATCTGTACTTTCGCAGTAGAGCCTCGCGATTTTCCACCGCCTCGGCCCCCATGTCCACGTACTCCAGCTGGTCCAAATCACTCTGGATCACGGAGTACACTTTGTTTATAGCGCATCCTGGCGTGCTGAATTCACAGTGAGTGCACTTCCACTGCGCGAGAGAGTCTGAAACAAAAAACTTATGATTGGTATTTACCCTAAATGTTTTATGTAAGAATTTAAAAGTAAAATTATTTTTGCAAGGCCATACAGCGGATTTGTTACATGCGAGTGGACACTTTGAAGCCAGCATACGTTCACCTTAGGTTGCAAATTTTTCCTAGAAACGTGTCATGCTTAATTCGGAGCCACTCGTGTTTGCAGCCTACTGTATATCCGTATGGAACATGAACTTACCCAGAGGGTCTGAAGACACTATGAGCCCTGGATCACATTTGTTGCATTTAAGGGAACTGAAGTTAGTGCCGAGTTCCGTGGGATCAGAACACCTAAAGCAAGTGCAGTCAAAGAACTTGCTTTGTTTGAGGTGGTCTCGCCTCAAGAGGGTCGGGTTCAAGGTGTGGGTGTACGTAGTATGGATCTCGGAGCCCTTCTCCACCTTCACTGTTGTCCGGAGGATCAACCTGGAGCATTAAAGGGTTCTGTAAACTGGTGCCCCAAGCCTACTTTGTAGTGTTACACTCGTGTAGTGTTTCCTCTACGTTCTTTGCACAAAGTTAAAACAGTTAAGCTGTTGTGTCAGAGTCGTTCCTGTGCACGCATTGAGAACATTAAATGCCTAATTTTGCCATATTCTACCAGTGGAGGTAGGAATTTATCACATCATATTTAGCTCCACTGAGGAGAGTCAATCTTGAGAAGCTGACAGTCGCTTAGTTAGACAAGAAATTCCTAGCGTTTTATGTAATCCTGATGTTCATTGTAGTGTTTACAAGATTGAACACTATGCCGAGCCAGATGAAGCCAATCCACATATTCACACACTTTCTCCAAAGTGCATGTTGAAGATATATGAGGCGCACACAGTATTCTTTAAATTCTCCTACAAGGTTCCCACTTGTTAGGATGCGAATGGATTGAACTGGCGCAGGAAAGGGTTCCATGAAAATGGTGAGAATTATCACAGTAATGAAACTGACGGATACCTGTTGCCTTCCGTGCTTACGATACAGTGGCTGGTGTTGGGTACACAGTTATGTGACATGATGGCAGTTTGAGGGTACAAACCCTGGACTGTGGACCCGCTTGGACAGCGAACTTCAAAACTATTTACATCCAGAATACCACACGCCGTGTGGATAAGATCTTCTTCAAACCTGAAAAACGCCAAAATTAGACGTAAAATTATATAATGTAATGAAACTTATATAGTGTGACCTCATGGAGAAAATCCCCTTGATAAACGAACGCGTGGAAAACGACATAGAAGTGAGATAGGCCTACGTTTAAATTTGACTGGACTGAATTGATAGACGGTGTAGTTAAGGAGTAAGTTGACTTCAGTAATAGCATGGATAAAATAACTAGAATGGCCCGCTGAAGGCGATGTTACACGTCTTTGAGCCTGGACAAATTTAGAACACTTCTTCTTTAAGACTAAAGGAACGTAGCAGTTCGACGTCATAATTTCCTATTATTAGCCTATTCTGTGGCACATTCAGTGTCGATTGTGGTTCAGTACACCATTTAATGGCGTTGCATGTACTGAGATGTTATTTAGAATCAAATGGTAGGTTGATGAGATTTTGGATTCTCACGTAGGGAGTATGAAGATATTGTCTTTTGGAATGTTGCACCGTAGTCTGGATGGAGGCAGTAAGCACCTCTGAGACGTCGGTAAACTTCTACCAGACTACACGGCGTAACAACCCAGAAGACAGCCATATTAGATTTACAGGTTAACTGTGAATGGTGAAATTGAAAACTAGGAAGGATGCGATCATGACGTAAAGTAAAGAAGTTTCCAAGGGTTAAATTGTGGATTTTATCTATAAGACTGAATTTAAAAACACAGAATATAGTGATGTTTTCCGAAGATCTAGATGAGAGATATTTCAGTTAACAGAATTTGAGGTGGAAGAAGTATATGTCCAAAATTGAAACTAAAACTGCGTAAAGTTGCCATTTCACGAATAACGTTCTTTTAGAGACAGAAGATAATATGTATAGTAGTAGAAGGAATGTTATTTGGAGTTATGTATGATCTATTATGACGAATAATAAAGAATTGGTTATAAGATGTTTATGACATTTTTACACGAAAAAGTGTAGAAAAAAATTGTGTCACCCATTTTTAATATCGTGGCTGGGCAATAAGAGGAAAGAAGTCTTTACATCGCCGTACCTGTTAGTCAATTTGCAAGCACTTCTGAGGTACTCCACGACATTGATCTGATTGTTTTTCCAGATAGGAGTCTCGCGCCTTTCCTCATTATGACCCTCCATGAACTTGACCTCCGATTCCCAGCGTTCCGGGTTCGACTCCTTGGCAAGAAGAAGTCTGAGTGGAGCAATGCAGTTCAACTGTGGGCATGCATCCATACAGTTTTCCACAGGTTGGAAACGAACTCTTGCACTTCTGAACACTGGACACTCCGCCTCGGCATGACACGGTGCATCCTCACATTTGGGGCCACAGACTGGCCATCCGCAGCGCGAACACAATGTTGAGCCATCGACGGGGGCGTAACAGCCCAAGCACATGACATAGGTATCAGGTTTTGGGCCGATGACCACAGGAAGTTCCGACAAGACTTGTTCTCCTGGCTCCAGGTTTCGGGTGGCCACAGCGTACCTGAAGGAGACAGCATCATATCAAAGAGGAAGAAATTGCATAAAAAGGAGCTTAGTCTGCACTTTTTACCGTACATCATGAAGGTGATCGATAGGAGGAGAATAGTAGCAAGCGTAATTATAATACATACAAATTATGAAGTAAAGATCGCATTAAATTACAAGCAAAATATTTATTAGAAAACTAATTAAAGATAACATTAAGGTTCATCAGTAATTGTGATTGTTAAATCAAGTGTGAAGTTATTTTACTGGTTTATGGGACTTGAAATTTTTATTCACATCGACTGAGCCTCAGGCTAAAACAATTTTGGAACTACTTTCTAAATACGCCATTTTCTTACCATTAATTTTATTAAGTTGCCCCTCACAGGTAACCGAATATATAGAAATCGTTTGGATGTATTTAGAGTCATTTTATGTTGTTTTGGTTGGACAAAACTTCAGTACTTCGTGCACATTTCAATAGGATTTATATTTTAGCATGTGCTATGCTTATTTGTTATTTCTGAAAAAATATTGTAAAAACTTAGCAAGAATTTGCTATTAGTTTTCATAAATAGTTCCAGGAAGGGTTTCGAGGTCTTTGGGCCCAACAGAAAAACTATTATTGGCCCGATGGAAGAAGAAAGTTGTACCACTTTGTATTAGTACGTATAGTGCACGATGCTGACGTAGAAAGTATTTCAATGGTAATAATGACGTGATTCCAGTTGTTTTACAAAGTCTCCACGACATTATTTCTTTTGTTCATGTGACTATACCTTCCAACTTTGTCGTTCGTAAGAATTTTGTAAGTTTTACATTTATCCTTGTGCTGATTCCAGTGTTCCTTCTGATGCTCCCCTGAACAGTAGGCAACTGTTTCACATCCTCCGCATTGATGCTTAGTGGGCTGCTTACACAAGGCACAAAGATCGCGGGCATTTGACGTTTCGCTCTGCAAGCAGGAGAATAGGAGAGTGACAGTAATTTGTTACAGAGATTCCTCCTTAGAAACATAGTGTTTTTGACGTAAATACGTCTATATGGAAGGGTCAGTGTCATTCCGCAAAAAAGTGTGACGAAAAAGTGTAAGATGGTTACCTAGGAAATATCAACAATTTGTAAATATGGACTGACAACAATGGTCAGCTTGCATGCATTGTTATGTTATTATTATTATTAGTGTTCTGTCTGACGACAGGTCCGTTTACTCGGCAAATGATTAAGAAGTGGTTTGCCATTGCCTTCTTCTGTGTGTGAATGGAGTAATTGTTGGGATGCCACGGAGAAACCGGGGAAGCCCCGGAGGAAAACTCCGTGTTGCCTAGACCACGGCCTTGCCCAACACAAGTTATAAATTCGGGCACCGCCGGAAATCGAGCCCTACTCCAACTCAAAATGATCTGGGCCCAGTCACAACACAAGATCTTCTTATTGTATTACAACAACTTACAGTAAACGGGTTATCCTATCATTAAACTATAACTAAATGTAAAAATGAAAGGAGTAAAAGTTTAAACGGCTTCAAAGTTTAAAACACTGAGAAGTATAAAATTTTCGTGGCCTCATAAGCCACTCTTTCTTGTAACCGTAACTTACACATTTAAAATAAACTAACTCCAAGACTCTCACTCCACGTCACTTTCATGGTCACACAAATTTGTACGAAATGAGACCATAAAAGTCAAGACCTGACTTGTGCACGGGATCCCCAGTCAGACTTCGGAGTATGTCAGGAGACGTTCCACTAACCACATCGAACTGTAGAGAAGCAATATCCCGTGACGAATTGTCTCTCTTGTTAGTGCTAAGCTGCCAGCACCACTAAAACTTACTTTCCGAGTACCTTCATGAGGTTCAACAGCAGTGGAATAAATCGGCTCTGGTTCCCAGTCAACACGTCGTTCCACTCGCAGACTGCAGTTCCAGCGGCCATAGCATGAAGCTAACCTCTAACTGATGTCGAGATAAGAATGTGCTCGGCTTTGCTTTACTTCTAGTCTTCATGAAAGGAAGGATACTCACTCAGGAATGGGGAAAATTTTGCCGTCCTTAAAGTAATTCCCATCTTATGGGCCATACAGATCACAAATTCGACTGTAACTTTTTCGTGGTTTTAAGAATTGTAAGACTTTCTAACAGACGACTGATTAAGTCCAAACGAAAGAAAGTAGTAATGAGGTAAGAGAACCATTTATGTGGTGTCTGATGGCCAAATAAAAATTAAGATATTAATGAACTGATGCAGTGGCAGAGTGTTAAAATATACAAGACAGTTTTTACCAACATTTAATTGAAGCCTCTGATTTTATCAAACATAGCATCAAAGTGAGACGTATTAGCCGCATCTGTAGTGTGCCTGTTACTTAAAAATTTCCTAAATAAAACATATATATATATATTAGTATTGGCAGACGAACCGCTAGAATTACTTTCGCCTTAGATTAGATGCTATCAAATTATTCGTGCATGTATCCATGGACAAAGATAAAGCATGTTTTGTCACATATGCTATATGTATTTGCATATATAGAACTCTTTGTAAGTTGCTTATCTTTGTAAATAATCTCCAAGTTAAACATAATTATTTTTATAAGAACGATCGTTTTAAGAGATTAGTTTAAGCAGAGATTTTAAAGTGTTAAATTATCTCACAGCGGTGTCAGCGTAGTATAAATAAAGTTTCTTGAATGTAAGTGAACTCACCAGATCAGGAGAAGCCATTCTTATACTCGGGGACTGATTGGCGTATTGTTAATCCACTCTGGCTACGGTGTAAGTTCGTAATGCTGATACATCCTCAAATACGCCTACTTTTATAACTACCCCGATGCAAATTGCATTCTATTGGATTTTGCCCAACGTACTAAATTTAAATTCGTGTTTCAAACTGCAAGGAAGTTTCGCGAACAGTCTACAACTCCGTTTTATTTTGGTCACAGCTTATCTTCCGTGTGCAGTTAGATTCAAATCGACGGTCCTTAACTGAAGGAGTATGACCATGTGTGCAAAGGAAATGTTTGAGAAATTAAATAGCATTAATTTAGACTTAATCTTGATCCATTCACTTTAAGATGTAAACACATTACCTGTCCCCACTTCACTTTTTCGAGAAACGTCTACATTGTCTTCGTTGATGGCTGTTATTCAGTTAAAAAGAAAAATCATACACAGCTATCTGGGCTTTTCTCATCTGTGTAATATAAAGTAAGAAAAGGTAAGGTTTTTAAGGTTTGACTATGAAGAAACCACTTGAACGCACAGCGACTTAAATTGGTTACCCCTGCCGTGAAAAAATGTATGACAATACAAAATACGAGTCATGCAATGTTCCTTCAGTATTATGTGCAAATGATGTTACATATATCAGATACTTGCCACATATTCTTCAAGGAAATTAACTCAAGCGTAAATAGTGTGTTTGCTAGTTTTTGACGTAAATACGTGTATATGGAAGGGTCAGTGTCATCTACTATAAAAATTTCTGATTCCCCGTTGTCGTCAAAAAATGACGTCATCAAACAATGTTACGTTATATTTGTTTACTCGGCATTGTTGTACCAACACAACAATGACGAAGGGGGGATTAGTTTAGTGTCTTACTCAAGATTTTAAAACGCAACCAACTCTCCCGAAGTCAAGTGTTTTAACCCACCATTCGGGGGGGTTGGTTTAGTTTCTTACTCAAGATTTTAAAACGCAACTAACCCCCCGAAGTCAAGTGTTTTAACCCACCATTCGGGGGGGTTGGTTTAGTTTCTTACTCAAGATTTTAAAACGCAACTAACCCCCCCGAGGAGCTCCGAAAGGAGCGCTCTGCTCTAGTTCCGCAAAAAAGTGTGACGAAAAAGTGTAAGATGGTTACCTAGGAAATATCAACAATTTGTAAATATGGACTGACAACAATGGTCAGCTTGCATGCATTGTTATGTTACCTAGGAAATGTCATCTGTTTACTCGGCATTGTTGTGTTACATTACTGCCGTCAACAATCCGCTTTCGTTATTGCGGAAAGAGCTGAGCTGTGAATCGCTTGTAGAAGAAGTGCGTCGTATATTAGATAATTTTGTGCTGGTAAAAACGTTTTACATTTTCACAGTTACTTATCTTATATACGAATTATTAAGAAATCTATTGTTGCGTTAGTTTATTGGGTCATACTATGTACAAGATGTACACACCTATTGATGATTGTATAAGAGATTTATTTTGAGTCATTTGAGAAATTATACAAAGATGTTTTCAGTTATGGCCACAGAAGATCCTAATACAATGCCGATAACATTGACAGAAGATTTTAACATTAATTTAAAGAAGGAGGAAAATCAAAGCTTTCTCACATTTATGGAGGAAACGTTTGGCTTAATGTTGATGTCAAATCCTCAATGTAGTACTTCTAGATCAAAATCTTGTATAGATATGGTGTTTGCACGATATGTTGATACTCTAAAATGTAAAAATTTTATAAGCTATTTCAGCTACCACAGACCCATCTTTAGCGTAACTAATTCAAGGTAGGCAGTAATGTCTTACTCAAACTTATCTCAATTGTAAAGCATGTATAAAGGAAATATTTATAATAAAGCCACTATATAAACTCCTTACTGCATAGACGTATTTACGTAAAATTCTCCGGAACCGTTGTTCCACTGTATCTTTTTTACCGAGTAACAAGAATTGTGTGGTAACTAGCCTATATGTTAATTGATTCTGAATGGTTCTGACGTGGTGTAATAATCTGGATTGTTGAGTGTTTGGACCTTGTCCGTCGTATGATGTTATAAAATACATCATTTCGAGGACTTATTCAGGTGTAGTAAAGGGGGCACCTACTCATTTTAATGGTCGCCATAGAGTAGGTGCCAGCTTCACTACACCTGAAGACGAGGACAGATCCAGTCCTCCAAGCGTTGTGTATTTTATAACATCAGACATACAGAGTTCAACAAAACCCATCAATCTAGCCAACCTACATGCT